AGCAAACAAACAACCCCCAGCAAACATGCTGTCCCACGCTTCATTTTCAGAGGCCTTTGTCACAGTATTTCTCTTATTTCATTCTTACTTGTGAATTCTTGAAACATTGAAAACAAAACCCGTTTGCTTTCCAGCCCCTTTGTACCAAGCATCAAATGACAAGAAGTCAGCAATTATTCAGCTGCTGAGGAGTTTTACGAGAGATACTGAAGCACGTCATAAAGGAAAATGGTTTTGGTTTTGGTTTTGTTTTTTAGAAAAGGGTAAACCCTGCTGGAATTTGTCTTTTTTAAAAGTTTTAGAGTTCAGATGGGTGTGCCCTGTCTCAGGAGGTTGCACCCGCCTGAGTCACCACCTCCAACTCCAGTTGTGAATACAGGCAAAGCCTCTTTGACTGTTGAAACATCTCCTCCTCGTTCCTTGATGCTTCTCACCAGTGCCCTAGCTTCAGTGGGAAACTTCTGCACTTGTAGACATAAAAAAGGAAAATCCAAGGAAAAGTATTAGAAAGTGGCCAAGAGATACTGAGAGGTCAAAAAGAAATTTGTCTTTAAGTCCTAAGGCAAGAGATAGTGATAGAAGGGAGGGAGTCTTGGACGGCAGGAAACATCCAGAATAAGGACGGAATAAAACATAAACCTCTACCACTCATGTCAGCCTTAGTCACCATGTGACCCCTGTAGCCAAGAACACAAAAGCCGGCATCTGAAAGGGGAGGATGGCTTATCGAACAGAGTTTGCTAGGGGAGACAGACTGGCAAGAGGCAGGAGATGAGGTTTGTCACCTGCGAGTCCAGGGCATGGGCAGATAGACATTTGTACTGGATGTTAGAGCCTAACGCCTGCCTGGGAGATTAAAACTCAGTTTCCTGCAAAGATCAAAAATCCTAAATAAGTAAAAGCAGTTCTTTTCCCTCTCAGAGAAAGGTCTGATTAAAAAATACCTAATTCCCTGAAGACTTTTCAAGTGAGCTCCCTGGTTTGTCGTAAGACCAATCTATTGCACTGGACATGCCACCAACAAACCCTACTGCAAACGCACAAGTATCATTTATTACTCGATTTCCATTTTATGGGCTATATTCATTTCAGCTTTGCTTCCATCAGGATATGGGTTGTAGTATTACTGCTTCTGCCACTATCATTGCAGCTGAATCAGCACTTCGTGACGAAGCAAAGCCAACACTCTTGCTAATAGGTTGGGAGGTATCATCCTGCTGCATCAAGCTGTGTCCTCCAGCCCTTCATGGCTATGGATAAATCTGGATGACCATAAAGTCTGGCCAATCCTCTTCTATACAGATAAAACATTTCCAAGTCTGTGGAGTAAATCTCTGTCAATGCAAAATAACTCAGCTTGCGCCTTCTACTGAAAAACAGCAGGATAGAGCCAGTGGTGCCCTCCAAAGCACAGGCTGGGGAAGGGAAGCACCAGCAAAACAAGCATTGGCCTCAGCGATGGGAATGAGAGACTGTACTTCAGAAATTATCTTTTTTTTTTTTATCCACTGAAAATGCCATACACTTCAGGGCTTCTTTTTGTTACTTGGGTTACATGCAAATACGCATTTTAAAGGCACTTGTATACAACACTGAATTGCTGGTGGTAAAATGTCACATGTATTATCTAAAAAAGTGATGCACCCCCACAGCTTCAGCTACCAGAAAAAGCAGATAATTTATAAAAAACCCCCCAAAAAACCCCCCAAAACAACAAAAACTCCACAAAACACCACACAAACCAAAAAACACCCCACCCTTCATATTCATGTCAACACACTGAGCCGTGAGTTGGCATATGCAGAATCAAAGTCAAACAAAGGGTGTGGGAGTGCAATTCAGGCAACCTCAACCTTTGGTGTCACAGTGACAGTCAGAAACCTGCAGTCTCTGGGTACGTGAAATTTTATTAAAAATGAAGAGATCCAAAGCACGAGCAAAGTATGATGATGCCCAGCATCTTACTCGCTTAGTATCACCATCCAGGAACCAGCAGACATTGGCAACCATACTGCCACACCTAAACCATACACCTCGACATACATTATGGTAAAATGTTTTATCTAAATTAATATCTACAACATGTAAATAAAACAAAACAAACAAACAAAAAACCCAAAGCAGAGAACAGAAAAAGAAAACAAGTACATTTAAGGGATGTTACAGAGTCATACACAAGCTGGAAGATGCCAGAAGTTCAAGCAGAAATATTCCCCATGCTTTAATAGCAGTAAGAGAAAACATGAGGGGGTCACTTTTCCCTTAATGCTGCTTATAAGCTTCCATTCTTCTGAAACCAGTGTAGGAATTCTTCTCTATTCAGAAGTTTTTTAGGGAGGGTTTTTTTCTTTTTTTTTTGCTGCTTGGACAGGGGAGTTTTGTATCTTAAAAACAAAACAAAACAAAAAAGCACTATCTTAAATACTTCGTTTCCCTTCTGCCTACAAAAATCTTTAAATTCATAATGCAGAAAAGCATTATTAAAATAATGAAAATTTTCAGAAATTTATTAGCTGATTAACTGATTAGCTGATGGTTGTATCATCATTAAAGTGTGGTATATTCCACTGAGCAAAAAATGTAATGAGATCTTCCTGTTCACGTCTGGCATAGTAACATTTTCCCACTTTTTCTTTTTTCTTTTTTTTTTTTTTAAATTTTAAGAAGTTGTGAACACAAGGAGACAGCTTACATGAAACAGAACTTAGGTGTCTTCGAGGATGGCTGATGGCTTAATGCTCACCAGAGCTGGAGGAAGTGCAGACAGACTAAGGCAGACTTTGTGGTTTCTTCACATATTGACATTCAGGACACTGGAACACGCTTGTTTGTGCTCACAGCACAGACACAGCGATTTCTCCTGGAAAATTAGCAGTAAATTGGCAACTCTGCCCTCCAAGGAATGAGCTATAAGAGCAGGAGAGAATACTGTCTTGCAGAATACAGAAGGTAGGTGCTTACCAAGAGCACCAGGCTTGCATCTCTCATTGATGCAAGGCTATAAATTCCAGTAGTGAGGGCTGTCAACATTTCTGTGCACTTCAAGCATCAAATTTTCATCAAGCTGGATTTTTTTAAGTTTCTAAAAATAAACCTTCTCAATGAAATATCCACTGAGTTACCAAATGGATCAATACACAAAATATGTATGATATAGGTTAGAAATTATGTGAAGTTACACACCTTAAAATACAGTGTTAGCTGTTTAGGATTGTTCCCAGAATACAGCAGTTTTCTGAAGTACATATTTCAACTTTAAGAGCCTTACAGTGGTGATAGTTTAAGGCATAGTATGATCAACATTATTTTATTATAGAAATACATTTCTGTAACAGAACTCAACATACACTTATTTCTAAGGTCCTTCATATCTACACAATATTAACCTTGAATGATAATCTTCCTCCCAACTTATAATTAACTACTTTACACATAAAATTCTATGTATTCAAAATTACCTTTAGAAAAAAAAAACCAAAACAACAAAACACTAAAACCTGTAACCTAAGATGCAAACAACCCTGGCAGTGTAATGACTACAGTACATGGCCCTGCAAAGGTGGAATGTACCTGAAATGTTTACAAATGCTATGAAAGCAAGACCTCTTTCAAAGCTACACTTCCTTTGATAATTAATTCTGATCACAAAAGCACTTGGAAAAAACAAGTGAGCAGTATTTATTTTGTGTAACTATGACTCTTAACGCATTTTGCCACAAGCTCTTCCTGCTATTAAAGCTCTTAAGGAATTTGAATCTTCTGCCCCTGGAATGCACAGTATGAAACCAATTTGCTGAAGAGGAAAAAAAATCAATTTAATTTTTCCATGTTACATTTTGGTAAAGCCAAAGTCCTATTCCTTGTTCTTTTTAAGGCACTCCCAAAGGGAGTCCTTGTGAAAGATCCAGGGCAAAATATAGCCCATTTAAAGGAAAAACATCTTTGACACTTTGATGTAAACTTAACTGTTCACTGGGAAAGCCTGTTTGCCTTTATAGCCAGGAGGGTCCTGTGTAGAGCAGAGCCCAGCTCCACAGATTATCAAGTCCACCTCAGTTTTACAAGATCAGTTAATAACTCTGGGAAACTCGAATTCCTACAGCAATAAACAGGCTTCAGAGCACTCGGGTATTTGCAGAGCAGCAGCATCAACCTCCTTGTTAATTCCTATATAAAGCATTTTAGTTTGTCACTGCTGCATGGGGGAATTGAAGCAGAGCTCTTGTTAGAGCATGGAGGAGCATGGCCAACACTCCAGCCATCGCAAGAGGGCCAAGCTGTCACACAGTAACGCTCTGTCATTCTGCACCATGTCACTCCTGTTAACCAATGTCACTCCTCTTCCAGGTAAGTCACCTGCTTGCTTTTTAATTAAACTCTAAAAACCAAAAAGGCATCAGTTTACATTTACGTGTTCTCCAATCCACACAGTGTCCACTTTGAAAATGGCACTCATCTATTTCAGTTCTTAAAGAGAAAAAAGCAAAAAAATAACATCCTCTAAAAATAAAAAAACCTCAGATTTATACATCTGCACGTAGGTAACAGATTTACAAGCAAACTTGTGAAGGGGATTTCATTCCAAAATAAAACAGAAGTCTGATCCCGACAGTTACCAAGTGCTCAGTGCTTCCTACTGCAGCCAACGGGTGCTGTGAAGCCTCAGTATCCTTCAGGGCACACCCAAAGTGGTACAATCATAAAAGTCCCTGAAAACAGAAGGGAGGAGGGGAAAAAGAGGGTAGGGAGAAAGCAAACAATTCTTCAACTTTCTCAACATCACTACGAAGAGAATGTAACATACGACAACACAAAAAAGAAATATTGCTGCAACTGAGGTTCAATGTACTGAACACTGCTAGTCTCTTACTACAGAGCTGTAGCAGGTAAGACACCTGGGTATTCTATACCAAAACTTTGGTTTAATGGATGCTTCAAGGTATATATGGCCATCAAAACATTTCTGAAGGGACCAAAAGAAGTGACCAATTTCTACAAAGAGGAAGCTACAAAGGATTTTATTTCCTTCTAAGTAATTGTAATTAAAATTATTAAATTTTAATTAAATTATGATGTCTAAAAAGACAGCAATGTTATTTCTAGTTTAGTACTCATAGTTACAACAACTGGTGCCTGCCCCAGGTTCCAACAGAGTTCTCTCTAGTTTCAGTAAGACCACTTGAAAAGCAAAGAAACACTAATTCCCTGAATGCAGAGTGAATAAATGCACAGAATAAATACCAGAGGATGGAGATGCCTCCAAACTGCAGTGACACATTCTTGCTCTCCTAGCCCCTGACGTTGCATACTGGCCTACTTCTGCCCCATTGGAGTTTCAGGAATAGCAATGAAGACAAAAACTTGTCCCATTTAGTCTTGTACTGTACTCCCGGCGGGATTAAAGCACACTGGTTTTAAGAGACAAATTTGAGAGTACAGACACACCACCTATCATCAAAGTGCACTGTCATATAAACAATGAAGTTACAAAATTTACAGGGCAAAACCAAAAATTTTTATTAGCAAACAAGTAAAGATTCATCATCACTGGTATTGATTTCAGAGAGGGGAGTAGGGGACTCTAACATTGGCACTTCCACAGAATGGCAACAAGCCGCGTGAATACCCAAAGGCTCCTCTCGGTATGAGTTAGGGCAACACTGGTTTTGTCCATCCACTTGGATATGAACATTCACAGGGCTGTCTGAATAAGCAGACTCCCACTTTTTTAAGGGTAACCTACATGGCTCTTCACTCAGCGGATGACTTCTACTTAAACTACTGTCCTCTGGGACAGTCCTCCTGGATGCTGACCCTCCATGGATCGTTTCTGTAACGCTTTCAGATAAAGGATCTCTGAAAGCTTTTCCTGAATCCACTTTACTGGACTGCTTAAGCTCACTGTCAGAGGTCTCGGCACCCAAAGGTTTATCAGCGCATCCAGCCTCAGGCTCTGCGTGTGCTGCTGTGCAAGTATTCGGTAAGACATTTGAAGATGATGGCTCTGTGATTTCAGTCTCTGGCTGCAAGCTGCTACATCCAGCTTCTTGTAGGCCCCTGGCTTGGCCATGGGCACTTGCCTCTAAACTAGGTCCTTCAGGGGAAGGTGGAGGACTCCGAATAGTCCCATCAGCATGGTTGATGATTCCATCACCCAGTGTAGTCTGTGAAGTGCGTGCAGGAGTCAGGAGCGGGATCTGTCCTCTCACCCGAGGTCTGTGGAAGAGTCTGTTCCAGAGCCTGCCCAAGCGACGCCGAGATGAGCTCCGTCTCGAGGAGTGTCGTCTCATCTGCCTCCTCATGGCTGTTCGAATGTTCTGCAGCACAGAAGCCTGTAACACAGACGTAACAAACTATGATTTCACACATACTCCAAAGACTTCTCCTAAACTCTGTTCTTTCCACTAATATCTCACAGAATTCTCAGACTCGATCCCTACACTTCCTTGTTAAATGCACGTTTTCTAATAAAATATTTAAGAATAGCAAAGACAGCTCTGCCTCTGTCAAAAGACTTTCCCTTATACTGTTTTCTTTATGCATTTAAGCTCTACTTGTCTGCCCAGGAAGATGCTCCACTCACTTGATCAGATCAGCATTAAAGAACCAGACTGCAGACCACTGAGTCCTCTGTCATCAGCAATAGCAGAGGATCTGCAAAAGCAGATGACAAGAGCAGAGAAGAAAGGCCAAGGCAAACTACTGCTCCACTTGAGCAGCAAACCAGAAGAGCTTTATCACACTAAGAACTGTATCACAGCTGGATACTTTTGACAGGGCACAGGAGATTTTTTTATAACTCTGCAAGGAAACAGAATGACTTAATGGCATCCCAGTGTAATGTATTTGTAAATGAAAAATAATCCCAGAATTTCCCCAAAATACTGCCAGAGACCTTACTTTCATATAACTTTAGGCACAATTACAGTTTCAGCTTGAAAAGCCTTTTTTCTATTTACTTTCTGACCCTTCTCTCTGTTCATTCTAACCTGATGTACAACAAAACAGCATGTGCTTATCTCACTGCTGTTCCCTAGCAAACACATTTAATGTGTTCAAAACTACCCACAGCACCAAGATGTGTAACTGTGGTTCATCACCTCCAAGTAAAACATACACATTTTTATATGACTTCCATATAACGAGCATGGCTAATGGAAGAACAGTTCCAGATTGATTCTGTCTAATTTATAGAAATTTGGCTGCTGCTAAGTTCATTGGCACTCCGTACTTGTGATGCATTGTACACAGGGAAGTCTTCAACTGGGGGGATAAGTCCTTGTGCAATCAGCTGCCCGTAGGAAGGTGGAGCCTCCCGCCGCACAAACTCTGCCTCAAGTCGCGTCATCTGGGTCTCAAATGCTCTGGAAACAGAACCGGAGGGAAAACATGGAAGAGAAGGAACAGTCAGTTTGCCCTGCCTCCCTCGCATGAATGTATAAAAGCAGCACTGAGGGCTTCACACTAGCAGCAAAAACACAAACCTTCAACTAGGCTCTGCGAAAATCTTATCAGGATGCTAAAATCAACAAAAGCATAAGAGTAGGGGGTGTAAGCATCAGTGAATCCAATCAGCAAACTCTTCCCTGCACTCCCAGGTTGGACTCTGCGGCAAATGAAGTTTTTTCAGTTGGCCAGCTTATGCCAGTAACAGTGGTAACTTGTTCAGCAAGGGCCCAAAGGTTATTTTTGGAACAGACAACATTAAGACCTGGAAACAATCACATAACAGGGGCAGTTTGCAGCTGCAGAGAGCTTTGGCTGTCCTGCCAGAACCAAGGCACTGAAGTTCCAAACATAGCATAGCGGCTGTTTTCCAGCTCCTTAACCATACAGATTTGATCAGGAGAGAATGTAAAGCACACTGTGCTGAAAACACAAATGGTGTCAGTAGCAAAGCACAGAGCTGGTGCATATGACAAGAGATGGGCTTCAGAAAGTCCCTTTTGACTCCCTCCCAAAGGGCAGAACTATCCTTGCACAAACATACAGCACACGGACAGAGAATCACAGACACTATCCATACAGCAAGGCATACAGGGCCATGGGAAAGGGGCACAGCTCACCCCTATGGGAACACTGGAGGTGAACAACTCCTGTCTCACCACTGCAGGACATCACCTTTAGTAGAACTGAGAATTACTCTGGGGAGGGGTTGGGGGTTATTCAGTTCAGATTCAGCCAAGACTTCACTGTAACAGTTCAGCATTCAGTTTTTGGCAAGGGGTTTGTTGCAGGGGGAAGAGTGTAGAGAGGAAATTGCTCAAAACAGTTTTGATTTAAGTTAGATACAGGTTCTGCAAGGCTGCACAATAAATGTATATTTCTCATAGATCACAGAAGAGCTGACATTCCCCTCACTACTTCTGAAAATCTTTATTACTCTTCTCTAAGCCTAACACAGTGACTGCTATTTAATTGTCATCAATTCCTTGAATTGATTTCACAGTATTTTCCAATTTCTCCAGTTAACAATCAACTTTTTTTCCTTCAAACAAAAGGGGGAAAAAAACCCACAGCTATTAAAGCATCATAAAAAGCAAGAAGCTTACCTGTACTCCCTGGTCCTCAGAGAATATAATTTAAATGCGCATCCCAGGGCTATCACCAGCAACAAGCCACACACAAGACTCCCTATCAGAGCAGCTGTGATGACCTTCCTGGGAACGATCACCAGGCAGTTATGTTCATCGCTTCCATCCTGGCAGTCTTCTTGGCCATCGCAGCGCCAAGTCTCAAAGATACACAGATTTGTACCACAATGGAAGTTTCCTGGCTGGCAAGTAAAGCAGTTTTTTTCATCTGAGCCATCTGGGCAGTTTTTCTGGTTATTACAGCGGTCAAGTATTGAGTAACAAAGCCCACTGTTTCCTTCACATGGATATTCATTCTTCTGGCAAGCGGGACAGTTCTCCTCATCCTTGCCATTTGGACAGTGCCACCAGCCATCACAGTGCTGCTTATCGGTGAAACACTCCTCATCGTTTCCACAAGGGTGTTCCCAAGGAAGGCAATAGCCTTTCACCTGATAGGTTGCATTGAACCCATGGCCGGTGCTCTTGGAGCGGGCATGATATGAGACAGTGAGCTGGCCCTTTGATGACTCCACGCTCACTGAACGCTTATTGTTGTGGTACGAAAATGTTTGCATTAATTTATCACCTCTCTCTCCGATGCCATCATACACCTTTACGTAGTCGTTGTAGCCTAACTGCAAATCAAGCTGCAACAGAACATGTCGATTATCTTGTGTGTCCACGTACCATGTGCAACGAAGGTCTGATCTGCTGTGATCAGCACGGAATAAGTCTGGGGAAGCAAAAGATCCATAAAAATTACCCAGTGTTTTGCCACAGGAAAGATCAGGACAATTATCTTCATCCGAACCGTCACTGCAGTCCTTAACTGAATTACATCTCAGCTCGTTCAACAAGCACTTGGTGGAGTGGGCTGCGCTGCACTGGAACATTCCTGAGGGACAGATGCTGGATGGAGGCTCTGTTGGAGGGAGAGTGCAGTTTCTCTCATCGGAGTTATCACCACACTCATCCATGGAATTACACTTCCAAGTACTGGGAATACACTTGCCGTTTGCACAACGGAATTCATCTGACTGGCACACAGCCTGACCTATCTTTCCTGTGAAAGAGGGCAAGGAGAAAAAAAAAAAGTCAGTATCAAAACTCTTGGAACCATCTGATGACACTTTTTAACGTCTACTACTCTGCAGGTCACAGGTGAATTGGTCAGGCCAGCAAATTTCAGGAATACTGTTAAAAAGCCACATGGAAATAATAACAGTGTTACCATGCTAACACCTTACAGTCATCAAGACTGAACCAAGACTCCTGCCAACAAAAAATACTACCGTCTTCAAGTTTTGCCAGAGTATAAGTGAAACCAACAAAACTGTAAGGTTTTACCTCTAATATAAGAAAGGCGAAATCCCTGAGCCTGTCCTGAGCTTGATGCATCCGAGTGAAAAAATATCCAAACATGGTCCCTTGCAGAGATGAAAGACGGAGGTATGGAAGATCCACACACTTTGTACTCCTCCCTCTTGGAAGAGGGGCCAATCATCAACCAGTCTACTGCACACTTCTGAGAGTCTTCCAAATCAAAGTTCTTAAAACTGTCAGGAACAAAAGAAAACACAAATTATGAAGAGGACATGTATCTGGAACAAAGCCAAACAGAGAAGGAACAGACTGTTAACAGTTGACATTCTGCACCAAGCAATGCTGACATAAAGAGATCTCATTCAAAGATAACGAAACACCTACAGTATCTTGAGTACATATAAACAGAGCACTCAAATTCCCCCAGTTTGGAAAAGCATCCATGATTCCACTTTTACTTGGAGTTTTTAAACAAAACTGCTTCCTAAAATGCAGATATGAGTAAAAGCAAAATTCCAGAACACATTATACAGAATGTAGATTAATTTCAGCAGTCTTTCCCAACATGAAACCATAGGATGAGAGGGGAGACTACTGTCTTGGAAAAAGAACAATAGGGAGCAGTAAAAAGAGCTCTAAAGGGATAAATACAAGAAACAAAAATCAAGTCCTCAATATATGGATAGGCAGGGAGAGGGCAAGAAGAGAAGAGGGCTGCAAGGGATGGAAATGGAACCTGAAGTCTAACACTATTCTTTTTTAATTCAAAGATTAAAATATTTCCTTTCTAGGAATGCAAACATATAACCTTTTACAGTCAAACCTCCAGCCCTTCCGCTGACCCAAGCCCAGTAATTATTCAACAGTAGCTTACATAGTACAAAGAGGTGTCCCAATTGTTTGCAGAATACTGAACACAACCAGATAACACCCCCTAACCTGTAGCTCAGGAACCATACAGCATATTTGTTCAGTCTGATGAAACAGATGACATCCGCTTTCAGTAATCAGCAATGACAACAGCATTGCATAAAGAAGCACACTCATTAGGAAATGGCACATTGTTCAGGACACTTAAAATGAGTTTTGGTCCTCTTTCACAGAAGTCTGCTACACAAAATTAACTTGGTAGAAGTTTGTGTGTACTCCATGCAAATATCTAAACAGGAGTTTCAGAAAGGATGAAAAGCTGCTACAAAACACAGACCTCCTTCCACAAAGGACTTTTCACAAACATAAAAGACAAATTCTTTCAATAAGGTAAATGGAAAGATAATTTTCCGATATCACCATGTATTTACAAAAGGCTGTCAGTGCCTGCCAGATCTTGCCTTTGAAGGTGAAAGGGAAAGTGTGGCAACTGTGTAAACTAGTCAATTCATTTAAGACCCAGCCTACACACACCTGCAGGACCTGCCAAACATACCAGCTTAATGTACTCTCCAGAAAAAAATTATCAGCAAGAAAATGAGAAGTAAGAGAGCACTGAAAGTGTTAAAATGGAATTTAAGAGAGGTCCAACAACATACACACAGGCAAGGACAATCCATCCAGAAATACATCCTTCTTTTCTAACTCTCTTTCCTCACACCATGCTCTATGTGTCTTCCAAGTTGGGAAGAAATATTCCCACAGTACCTAATTCTTTGCTACAAGTGCTCTCATCAATGCTCCGAAACCAGCATATTCTGGAAGGAAGTTTTAGACAACTGTGCAGACTAGAAAGACTGTATTCAGCCATGCAAAGGTAAACTAAAGAGTATCTCTGTCCCAGGTGTTCCACAAAAAACTTTTTAATGACCAAGAGAGTGTACGAACAGGCACTAGAGCATGAAAAGGAATTACGCAAAGTATCAGTGAACCTATGGGCACCCACGTCAAGTCTGTTGCAAGAGGTGTGAGACAGCATTACTGAGCTACCACATTGGTTTTGCCCTCTGTAACCCAGTTTGGCACCAGACGTCAACAAGGGTTTCTATCATCTACTTGGAGGACTCTTTGTAGGGTTTTCTCATCATAAAGACTTTTTGGGTAAGCATTAGAAGTATCTACTTGTTCAACAACAAAATTTTTTTAAGAAAAGGGAACAGTCACTGAATCAAGAAATGGAAACTCAGAACTGGGAAGGGGTGGGGGGAATGACTAGAAAAACTTCCATTTGTGTGATACAAACAAGATCATTTACTAAATCTTTTTATCTCTTACTTCTATACTTATTTTAGATGTACCAGGACCAACCTTGAAGAGCTAAACAATTTGCTTTCCTACCCTACCCAGTTCTCAGCACTCCAGCCAAGTCCCACAGACACTCATTTTCCCCACTCTGCTGAAAGGAGCTACAGTTGTCTATCAGGTAAATAACTAATCCATAGTGTTGTTGCACAACACAGACTGCACATACCCAGGGGAGAATTTGCCTACGGAACAAGGTGTCTGCACCTTACCTTAAAATTAATTTCTTCCTAGGGGAAAAAAAAAAAATTAAAGGTTTAACACTTTTTAAGATTCACACAAGCGAAGAGCACAGAAGTCAGCTACATGCGCACGCCTTGTTTACAAACTCTTTTGCAGATGAAAGCGATATCTCTGGAGAGCCTGCATTTGTTTATAATTAACAGTATCTTCTACTTGCACCTGGAGAATATAGTACTTTACATTGCTAATAAAAGGCTTTTTTGGGTTTATTATAAAGGGCAGGAAAGAGGAAGAAACTTTAGTCCCCCTTCCAAAGCAGAATCACAGGCATACACAAGAGAATTGATTTTCCTGAGTGTCAGTCGTGGATCTGAAATAGATTCACAGCAGAATCCCACACTTCTCCACTAAGAAATCCAAGCTTTAGCCTCAAAACCAACCAAGTACAAGGGTGATGAGGCAGAACAGACTCGCAAGAAAGTATTGTCTTTAAATACCAGTGTCCCTGAAACCACCATGCCTCTCAGGGATGCGTGAGCTACTGAAACAAATGCCTTGGTATTTGAAAAAGGGCAATACAGAATATTTGTGAGAATTATTTCTTTTTCAAAAACAATAAGCATCTTAATCCCAGGTGCCTAGGAGTTTCAAACACCCCTGAATAAACACAGTTTCTCTGATATACAGATGTCCTAGTTCTGATGTAAAATTTTATATATAATAGATACCATAGAAGTTATAAAATTTCTTCTAGGGGCAAAAACAAAGTCAATGCAATTATGTTCTACCTCATGCAAACTAATCAACGGACAAATTCTGCTTTGGTTAAGGCTTCGTCACTCCACTCCAGCATCCTTTTAAATTACATTGTCTCCAATGGAAGCAAACTGTGCCCTATTTAAATTGACGGTGATTTTACTCATGACCAAAAGCTTGATATAGTTGAATGAGCTATCAACCAACCTCACCACAAAAATCACTCCTTTGTAAAGAAATACAAAACAACATGCACACATGTGTGTGTGCATATAAATATATAAAACTGGTTTTCACTTCATAATGCAATTGGAAAAACAAGGTCTTGCGTGAGAAGTTTCTGCCATACTAATCTGACATTAAATAGACCACTGATTTATTTTCTAAGAGACCTGAATAGTACGTTCAACCTCTGCTACTTCACTTCTTTCATCATCTGTAATTAGATCTAGCACTGCTGTTGTTACAGTCTTCTGGAGAATAATTTAATCCTGCTACCCACAAAATAGAGCGCGGGGACTTTTAGCTATTCCATTGAACTTTCTTAAACTGGAATGTAAATTTTTCTGTCAAAAGGATTAGCTCAGGGGTTGAATGATTCAGGGTATGCAGCGGAAATAAGGGACAAAGCCTTGAGCTCCTACTGCTTGTAGGACTGTAGAAACATCTTACAGTCTTTGGATACTGAATTAAGTCTGTAGTTGAAGTTCTTGAGGGAGGTCTCAGGCTCTTTGTATCTAAAACCCATGTCATTTTCTGGGATTAAAACAAAAAACAGAATCAAGTCGTGCTGAAACTGAGAGTACTAATGGATAACATCATCCATATCTCATGCAGCACAAGTCAGTACTGTGGTACTTTTAGGGAGGAAGAGCAAAAGAAGGGTCAGTTCAGTCACCAACCCCCTCCAGCAAAGCACGTGTCTGAAGGAGTGGGACGTGGACACAGAGGTCCATCCTACCACGCAAGCTGCAGTGCATGCTGGCACTGAACTCCAGCCCTTGCACCACTCAGCTGCAGCCTTCCCCACCACACTGCATCTGCTCTGTGGGATGCAGATCCTCCTCCACCCATGAGCTTCACTTATAGGACACTCTCCTCTCCTCTGGCATCAAAGCACTCGATGGTGAAGGGAAGGAGAACTTGGTTTTCCTCCAGGCTTTTTCAGAGCACAGCCTGGACCAGAGGGCAGGGAGAGGAGGAACACTCAGGTACAAAACTGCAGGAGTCAAACTTTGGAATTTCCAGCACTTAGAACTGGAATATTAACAAAGTACAACACCCACCACTAACACACAGAACATCCATCAAAATGCTTTGTCCCTTAGGCTGTTCTTCTTCCCATTACCTGTGATCTCCAACATAATACAGGAATAAAGAAGAAGACTGGTGTAAAAGATCAAAGTTATTGGAACAAATTTTGCTGGTTTTGTTTCTTCTGAAAGATGCAATTCAAAAGCACCAACTCCAGTTATCCTGCTTTTGGAATGTCTCTTCTGCAGTCAATTCCTTTTAAAAAATCCCCCAATTTCATATAAAAGTACAAGAATAGTCTATTAAACATAAAAACTCCAAGGATCAGAAAAACTCCATGTGAACTGACAAATGCAGCACTAAATCTGTTTTTACAGAATTCTGCAGAAATAGGTAAAATCATCTGCTTTTTCTTTCAGTGGTATGATACTGAAACAGTGTTACCTCCAACACTGAGTAGGACTCCAGGAGCTTACAGAAAATTAGAGGATCGTCCACGTATCAGATCTTGCCTGTAAAATTACTCAAGCGAAGCAACAGTAGCCTACAATGATATTTTATTATTTTATTTTATTATCTATCAACTATTTTTATGTTGCTGGAAAGAACCTGATTAAACCAGCTTATCATAAATACTCATTTAGACTCTGAAAATATGAAAAAAAAGTGCTACCTGCAAAACTAATGCTTAGCAGAGCTAAGCTTTTTGCCATCTGCACTGAAAGGAGCAGTAGCAGCTAGAAAAAAAAAGTACTTCTATGAATAATGTAGGGAATTCCCTACAACCCTCTTAGTAATTTAAGCATGAGCAACTACAGATTAAAGAAAGGAAAAAAAAATAAAGAAAGAGCATTCTTAACTGGAAAAGGGCAAACATGGGACAATGAGGAAAATTAACAAAAAAAGGGTAAACTGTTGGAGGCCCAGCAGATGTAAAATCTGAATGAAAGTAATTAGTATATAAATAAATAAATAAAGAGTACAATTTGACCCTCTAAACTCATTAAAAAATTGAAGAATAAATATTACGGGTAGATCAGTAAAGCACAGTCCCAAAATAAAACAGACCAGCCAATTAAGCAAGAAAAGTTACTTCTATTTGCCAGCCTCTCACAGCAAGTGCAGACTGTGAACAACTGATGACTTAATTGGCTCATTAAAAACCTCTGCTTAACCACTGAAGCACAAGGACCTGGAAGTCAGGAAAGCTCTGTTCTACTCCCTGCTCCCAAACACCAGCTAACTGTGTAACCTCAGGCAAGAGACACAGGGGCTGTGTTTTCAAAAACTGAGCACATGCGACTGAATGAAATAAATGGCTATTATGAATTTTTCACAATTAATGTCAAGTTCTGAAACACTGTGAGCTTGGTAAACAGACTATGAAGCAGCCTCTTTAATTCTTTATACAAGCAGAGACCAGCAAGCCTTTACATGAACAGGCCTCAGTTTTACTCAGAAATTGAAACTCAGATGGTATCTAAAAAATTCTTTTTTCAAAGCCAGTGGGGTGAATCAGTGAAGCGAAAGCCAATGAAGGTGATCCCTCCCCCCTGCCTCAATTAATAAGAGACAGCTTGAGTGGATCACTAAGTAGAGAACTTTTCAATACTCTTATCTTGAATTGTGAACACTGAGAATATTTTACTCTCAGTCCCATAAATTCCTATAATAAAACGCAATTCATTTATACTCTGCCCACATCAGGTTAATCACAACTGTCAGGTAACAGCAGCTGCTAAACAAAAATGGTTTTGATCTTTTTGTCAGATATGAGGAAATATACACATACAAAGCCTGTAAAGGATGGTACAAAGGAAGTTACTGCATACTACATCTTTATCTGATCTTAGAGGATTTTTATGTAGCCGTCTGTGAAAGCAGGCATAAAAACAGAGAAAATGGGAGGAAAAATCAAGTAGTTTCGAAAACAATAACCAACAGATTGATTACCTGACTCTGAAGTGACACAATATAGTCCTGGAAAACAGTATCTACACACTTGTTCCCAGCTCTCAACAGCACCGTTCCATCAGCCACACAAACTTGGAAGAAAGTACTGAAACATGCACAATTAGCAGAAAGGTATAACCACAAAGAACACATATTTCCTGTTCTTGTGAAGTCTCCCCCAGGGATTTCTAAAAAGTAAACTATAAAGTAAGACAATAAGCATGGAAATGTGAGAATATGAAGAAAATCAATACACACACGAAAGGTATATTAAGACAAAGCTTCTAAAGGACATGCCCACAGTAGCCAGCATCTTACATTCACATGTAGATCTGGGCACTGTTCTATTGAAAGCTGCTGAATAATAGCTTAAAAAAAAAATGACCACGGACTGCAAATGTTTTAGAAATCAAAACTACTTCCAATTGCAATTTTATCCCTTAATGACTCCTGCTGTATCTCAAATATGATGCTTATATAATATTGCTGTCTTACTGTCAATGAGAATTCAAGATCAAAGGAAATGCATTCAGTGTAACATAACACAAAGGAGGTTGGGGTTTTTTTAAAACCTTTTGAAATCCAGATGTTATCACAAGAACGGTGTTTGATTTTCCTAGGAAAATTTAAAAAGCTACTCTTTTATGCCCTTATCAGCACAGTGTTAGGACAAGAAGCACATGCAACTGTTAAGAGGAAAAAGTGTTTGTATTTGAACCCTCTTTCCCAGTTTGCCTATATCAAGCTAGCCTAGGCAAGTCAGCTGCTTCTTTTATGTCCTTGGCATTACAAAGGCTACAACCTTCTAAAGAAATCCTCCAATGCTGTGACATTTTGCATTTCATACACCAGAGTGAGTCATTCCAAGTACATTTATAGTCAGAAATGTAACACCACAACACTACTCCCTAGGATGTAAACACATAGCTCCCATTGTTTGCATGTGCATAGGAGGGCAGGATGTGGCAGTGACAGAAAACAAACCCATTAAGAAGAAATCTTGCAAATCATATTGCTATGCACACATCTAAACTATATACATACATTATTACCAGTTTCCTCACCTCCTTCTCCTTTATTTCTTTAGCCTCTGTTACACTCATACTTGCAGAAGAGAATCCTAATTCTAACTGGGAGCTCTGAAACATTTTTGTAGCATAAATGGCAGTACTGTTTGGCACAGCCAAGTCCCGTGTCTCATTTGTATGCTTCCTCAGAGTTTCCAACAATCTCTGCTTTGAAACAAATTCCCCACGTCCAATACAATTTAATGGGGTTTAAAAGCATGTTTCTATTTATGGATCTCAAATGCTGGCAGGTATCTACTTCCTTACTTTTGATGAGTAGTTCCTATTTTGAACTACGGATGGTGGAGCCCTCCTATTATTCCATCTGTGGCAGATTTGTTTTTAATTGCTGAGCATCTGCAGTTGAAGAGGTTTGCAGTCCTTTTAAGCAGCCGAGCAAAGAATGAGCAGATGGTGTCAAATACAACAGTACTAAAAACCAAACAAAAACCCTTTCCTAGGTTTGCTTTATTTTTTTCCTCTTCTTTTAAATACAAAATTCTTGGTTTGAGAAGGATACCACTATTAGCCCAGAGAAGTAAGGCACAGTCACAGTATGTTGATATTACAGTCTAAAATTCTTAACAAACCATTTGTAGTATATTCTAGTCTTTTCTGAATAGTGTTTTTATAGAATGAGCAGAAATTGTGCCACAAATGCTGTTATTTATTTCTGTTGGAAATAAATATTAAGCAGGAAAGCATGTGCCTTTTGGTTAACAAGTAACAATAAGCAATGATTTCAACTGTCAATTAAGCATAGCATCATTTCAAGACATTGCAGAAAAAGCCATTTTTGCTCTAAGAATTTTACATATCCCACTGAGGCTATTCCAGGTTTTACAGCCTTCACCTATACTTATTTATAAGCAATGAAGAGAAGGTGCACTATTTAACATGAGTAAATATATCACTGTTGCCAACTTCCTCATCTATCAGAGGTGGATTAAATCTCACACAGGTATTGTGAAGATAAATATATTAAAAGACTACAAGTGACTTGCATATATAATAATGGATGTCAGAGGCAGCCAGAAACAAGACACAGTGGAACATTTCTAAAATGAGAGAGGTGCCCAATCTGCAGTCATGCCCCAGTGTAATCAACTCCAGCTCCCTTTGACCATTCAGCAGCTCTGGCAAGCAACCTCATACAGGTATATCGGATAAGATCCTGCATTTAGTTTCATTTCAGCAAAGCAATCCTTCATCTCCACAGAATATCAAACCATACCTAATCGTTATCATGTCTCCATGATCTCCTTGAATGTACCAGCTGCAGTTTACAGCTGGAGGATAGTTCAATGGCCAAGAAGGACTATAGATGACTCCCCGTCTCTCTGTGCGCTGTTCTAGTTTTCCACTGCAAGCAGCTGTTAATAACAGGAAAAAAATATTATTGTTAATGCTTTGCCTAATCAACAATTCACATCAGCTACAAGAGCTTTCATCAGTTTCTGGGGATTGCAGACAAATGAGAGTCAACAGTTTTATCCTCTTACTGCTTTCTTCCCTGCCCAGGTTTTTAATTAAGACACCTGCTCTAAGTGTAGGTAAGCATAACCTGCATTTCAATGCAGGATCAATCAATAACCTTGTATGAAGCTACCAAAGGCTACAATCAATATTACTGCATGGATCTGCCAAGAGGATGTAATACAGAAATCCTTCTTACCAGCTTCCCAAAGCCTGGGTGTCTCACCCAGCAACTGATGATTCAATATAAAGTATCTAGAAGCTCGTTTTGTTGTAACACTTTCCTGAACGTGTTGTTTATTCTCCTAACCATACCACAGACCTGAAGAGTTTGTAATGGTTAAAAAAAAATCCCCAACAAAAAGAAAAAAGTAAACTGGACTCCAGTATCAGATGGTTTCACTAAGTACGCTAAATTCTTTCTGAACTTCCATACATAGGAGAAATTTTCCAGACAGGGAAAGGAGCAAACAGGGCTAAATAAAGCTCAATATTTTCAAAGCACTTTCAGTTCTTCTGATGGAAAACAGCAGGCCAATTAAGGCTACATCAAATACTTATAATTTGTAATTAAGCAATTCAAAAATGAAAGTGAAATGTTCCAAGGACAAGTGGGAGATCTGTTCTGATGGGAAAACGTACTCTCAGCAGACTACAAGAGGGGAAATTCTGTGTAATGCAATAGCTATTCTGAACATTCTCTAAAAATATTTTTGAAACTATTTTTAAAACAAATTATTATCTAGAGCATGACTTGTGGATTGCAGCTGAATATTCCAATTTTTGACAGAAGCTTAGTTTCTTGTAGCTTAAAAAGGTGGCAAGGAAAAAAAAAGTTGCCTATACCTCAAGTTTCCTCATACACATACACATCCAAATATACTGCGTTATAAATAACAGATTTACAGTATTGCTTGAAATTCAGTCACATAAATGCATCGTTTTCAATTCACAGTTGGGATCAGATTTAGCTGCACTGGAGGGACGGGGTGAAGAAGTGCCAGCAAAGCTGCCTGGCTGCAGTCACGTCAGGCGGCAGGGCTGCCTGCAGCGCTCCTGGCTGGGGCTGAGGCCAGGCTGCAGGATCCCCCCACCAGTAAATCCCTGCCTGGCACTATTCTGTTTATTCACAGTAAGCATTTTTGAAGTGAGAACCACAGGAATATAAAAAGCATGAGGTGAGTAACTTACCTGAGGCAAAACATATAAAAAGCCATTATTTTTACGCTCCAAGCAGGGCATTCCACTGAAACATATGCATATAATTCCTACGAGTTTCAAAGACCAGGAAAGCATACAGAATACATAAATACACAAAAACATCTATTTTCCAAACAAATATTTTGCAGAAAAGCAGTTACAAAAAACAAGAACGTTTTTGTTATCACATTTCTAAAACCAGAGAGGCTCCACACTAGATGCTGGCAAAACAGTGACATGCAAATGCAATTACAGAACTGTAAGAGCAAATGTAAGATCCACAGGACTTTTCAATCCCAGTTCTCAATTTGTTTAGGTCTTTAAATGTGCTCCTGCACACACGTGTCACTGCAACAACATATCACAGCACTGTAAGAGGACCTAGAGCTAGCAACCACATAAAAGGAGCTGGGAAGACTGCATTTCCTAACTGTCAGATTACTAAAACTTCCCAGTGGGAAGGGAACAGAATGCACAAAGCAGAAAGAGCAAATACACCAGACAGCACTATCCAGAGGCTTCCAGCAACAGCTCTGCAAATAATTCTGTTCCCCTTGTCCCAAACAGTGTTTGGGATTAATATCCCTCATTCATACATAGTACATGCACTAGAAAAGGGAACAGAATCATAATTACACAAAGCTTATTTTGGTTTCCATTCTGAGGGAGTCTTACTGACACGCTGGTGACTCCACATGAGCACTTCCACTCATGCACTTACCAGTGTCGTTAAACAAAGCTATAATTCTCCCAAATATTTGTTTCTCAGTTTTAGGAAGTATTTACAAAGGTCCTGAACAACAGTTATTTGAAGTATCCCAGCTTTTTTGAAGTAACATCACTAGCATTTTTTCTTTTGCAATAATGTAGTTCCCTAATTTGTAAGCAGTGGCTCTGACGTAACGTGACAGTTCAGGTTCTCAGTGAGAAATACTTTTTCTTATTAACACTGCACATCTGCTACAAACACGAGACATGGAAAGAGGAAGAGACAAAAGAAAAAGATTTTCCATTTTAACAGAAGAATTGTAGCTGTGAAAATCTAAGGACATAAGCAAGGTAAGGGCTGCACTGACACTATTTTGTACCATTTTGGGTAGTTCATCTGGCAATGGCCATTGCTGCTCAATATTTGTCCACAGCTTTAACCCTCTGACACATAACAAGCATTTCAGACTCAAAATTAAAAGGACAAGTGCTTGGCTCTTCCAAAAGCTCCTGATTTGAATGGACCACTAATCTGAATTCGTACTGCCACAACATAATTACGCTATGTTAAGGACACATCCACAGTTCTCTAGTGGGACAAACCAGACACCACCCCATCACCCCCCAGAAAACCACTACCTCACATAATTGCCCTACGCTTCTGGTGCCTTTCATTTCCCAACAATGCTCATTACTGTGGTATTTGCCATAAATGAAGAGATCTCCTTCCTAACCAGTCGTCTGTCTCTCTGCTCCTTGTGCCCTGACTGCTGTGTGGCAGACAAGGTGAAGTATCCAAGTGCTGCTTTCAGCAGCTGTTCCTTCACCTACATGAATTTTGAAAGAAAAACCTGTACTAAGCAAAGCCTTCAGTGCTGGCCACGAAACAGAAAAACCACACAAGGGCACGATTTCATACTGTTGGGGTTTCAGTGTCAATAAAGGGGGTCCACTTCCCTCCTCAGCCCATGAAGTCATGAATCCATGAAGTTCACAGAATCACTTACACGTGTTAACTATTGTGTTATTAAATTGGGCTTCGCAATGACAGTGTGATTCTTTAAGGAAAACAAACAAAGGCCTTTTCAAATTGCCAAAGCATCTAAAGGAAAGGGAAGTCTCTAAATAGAAAGGTACAGTCCTGTATTCTAAAGGCCTTATCATCAGCAACACACATGAGAAGAGCAGTGACAACAGTTTTTCAGCAACTGTTCTATAACTCTTTTTCCGCAGCCTTTCTGCACGAACCCAGAAGAAAAGTGAAAACCCAGTTTACTAAAAGCCCCAAACAGCTTACATTTTCCTCGTTTAGGATTACTGAAGAAACATAAGAGAACACCAATTCCTGGACTGGCAAACAACCCACCAAAAATCTTACTGAGATGGTGCTTTTTTAAAAAAGATACATTCTGAAGATAGACAATAATTAACCTTTTATAGATTTTTTTTAAAAAAAAAACAACAAACTTTAAACAAATGCCAGAAGAGGTTTGAGTTCAGATAATTTCTGTCAAGCAGGCATAAATCTTAATGAGGCTCTTTCTGTAATAACCAAATGGATTTCTTCTACCGTTAATAGCAGTAGATTCCCTGCCACTTAAATACTTGCAAGAAAGTTTCCAAAACTTTACATGAGTAATGTTATTTCTATTTTTATAAACGCGACTGTAACAGAACAGACGCCGAGTTCCACCAGAGGACAGCACTGGGGGCACCAAGCTGTGCAGGAACAAATTTGCAGACTATCCCAGCAAAAAATAAATCCTGCAGTCTCACACTCTTCTCCAACACCTCAGGGTCTGCCCCAGTCCCAAGGGACACACCCCAGCCATCTGATCCAGGATACAGGATGGTTTGCACCTGCCACAAGGATCCTTCTCTCAAAACCAAACACTTGGCAATATTTGCTTCCTCAGTAGCTATGTCAGGGGCAGGA